TTCAACTTATATTTCACAGACATTGATCAGAGTGCAATGAAATTTTGCTGTTGCTTTTCGTAATTTCTTCTCCCTGTACATTCATCAAAATGTATTTTGACGTATATTGTTCCAATCGGTGATAATATACTTTAGATTCTAATAAGATGTATGTATTACATCTTCTTATATACTTCTATATCGGTGTAATTTTTTTATTCGTAAAGGGATTTTATATGAATCGAGATAAATATTATGACTTGCAAAACTATATAATTAAATTATATAATTAGAAGTTAAAGTTTTCATAACAAGTTTAATATACTCAGCTGTTTAAATTGATTACAAAACTTTTCTTGGAACATAAGTTTTATCTTAGATTATTTATAATGTAACAGCAGTGATGCAGATGAATCTGAAGATAAGAAGCGCGATTGGAAGGATGAGAAAAACACGGAAGAAGTGAAAGTTGAAAAAGTGGAAGATGAAAAAATGGACGATAGCGAGAAAAATGTGGAGAAGTTGGCTGAAGATTCTACGAAAGAAGCAAAAGATACATCTGAAAAAACTGAAAAAGAGAACATGAAAACAACTGGCAAGAAATCGGAAGTTAGACACGCTGAAAGTCGTTACTCCGAAGTTCCGATGAACCATATGTTTTGTCATATTTGCAATAAGCATATGTGGGATGGATTTGTATGCATCATCGATGAAATTACCAAATTTTCTACGTAATCATCAAGAATTGATTAATTTTTATATTTTTTCGCAGTCCTTCGAAAATCATTTACGCGGACGTGCACATCAACTGATGATGGAAAAGTTGGATGAATCGTACAAATTGAAAGTCGATTTGATGAGACACGAGCTACGAGTTGCCGAGGAGCAGCGTGAGCTTAGCTTGAACAACTCGAAACGACGAGGCAAAAAAGTAAGAATTATATTTTCTAGAAGAGTTGAATATATGTATATACAGATTTAATAGTAAGTATTTGTATTTATTTATAATTTCTTATAGGTCTCTGTAGATTTCAATGTGAGAGAATATTGTACGATGTGCGATTTGAACTTTTATGGAACCTTATCTACACATAGGAAGAGCGAAAAGCATCAACAATTGAAAACATTCTTGCATCCTCGATGCTTTCCTTGTTTAAAAGAATTTCCGTCTCGCATAGAATATGACGAGCACTGTTTAACACCGGCTCATATGAAGAATGCCGTTCAATGCGAGGAACAACGGAAAAATAAAAAGAAAGGTAGTGAAGAAAATGAATGAAAGAAAACATTTACGAATTAATATTTCGAAGAAAATTTTTAATTGATAAATTATTTGTAGAAAAACTGGCAAAGGGAGAGGCCGAAGTTCGTACTGCAGAAGACGAGGAGAAAGATGTATGTCATGATTCCAAGAACGAAAAAGAAGAGGATTCAGGAGAACAAGAATATATCACAGATATTATAGAAAATTTAACTGAAAAGAAACTCAAGATACCGTCTTACAAATATTGCCGTCAAAATCATATCTTTATTGGTATGGATTATATGAAATTGGAAAAATATAATTTTAATTTACAGTAAGAAAAGTAAAAAAGTAAATATACGCGCATTTCTTTTATACTAGCTTTACAAGAAATTATACTTATACAGGTAAATCTATGGTCAAGGAGGTCCAAGGATTTTATTGTGAGCGTTGCCGAAGATTTATGCTCTTAACTGAAGATATGAACGCTCATCTACGCAGCATCACGCACTATCGGAACTTTGTGGCAGAAGTAAAGTCATTAACATTGAACGTGCCAGCTACAGAGTCGAAAGAGGCTGAACAAATTGACGTAAGTAATTATATCCCGTAAAATAAAATAAAGAAAACTCGTTTTCAAAATCTTGTAAAATTCTTGTATTGTGTTTACAGAATGAGAAAAATGTTGAAGCTAAGGAGGAATGTGATGTACATTGGAAACGTCGCAAAATTAGTCATGATGAAAATGATGATGATGATAAGCCAAAGGAGCAGCAAGAGAGTAGTGCTGATAATGTAAATGTGACACCGAAGAGATCGGACGGAGAGGAGAAGTATGATCCATTGGAAGCTGATGCTGCCGAATCGGAGGAGGAGGAAAATCGCGAAGCGGAGGAGGATACGAAAGAGACTGCCGTGGAAGACGCTACTAATATACAGGATGTAAAACCTTCAGTTGACGAAGTGTGGGCAGATATGGATAATGATAATGATGTTGAAATGGGTAATCTGATCGATGAAGCGGATGAAAAAGAACATGCCGAACCTGAAAAGTCTGTACCGAAAATAGAACGAAATCATAGTCCTCAAATGAAACAACCTAGAGGTCGCGGATTCGTACGCGGTCGCGGTGGTCCGCGTGCCAGGAGATCCCGGCGATAAAATAATGCCGCGCAATTTATGGAAATGAAAGTAAACGTGAGAAAAAATAACGTTGACATAAGAAAAATTTAATTCCGTATCTCATATTCATTCGGATAAGTTTTAATGAATAGAACACGTTTTTATCACCGAATGGGATATTAATATACATATTAATATTGCACATTATATTAACATTAACATTAACATTATAACAGAACATACATCCTTGGTCAAAATATTAGGCACCTATATTCTTTTTATTAATCAGAAATTATATATTTGCTGCAGCGACGACAGAACTTGATCGAAAATCTTTTAAGTTCCAAATTTAAAATATCGATAACAGTGACATTTTAAATTCAATTCTTATTATTCTGTCTTAAACACATATATCTGTCCTTATTTAACATTGCAACGTCATTTTTTGCAAGATCGAGTAACTACTAGTAGTCTACTAGTCATAATTACTGCTTTGTTTACCATTCCGAGTCTTCGCTAAGCATATACGTATACATGCAATTTGCAAATCAATAAAAATCTTTTTTTAAGCTTTTAATCATAGTTTTATAAACGCAATATTGTTCGTTCACATAATTGAACAAATAATGCAATGTTTTGTTCATAAAACTATTGTATTAAGGAAACGTTTATATCAGGTGAGCTCTAAGAGTTGAAAAATAAGTAAGCTTATAACTTTTTTCGATTTTAGATTAAAATATACACTACACCTAAAATATACACTACATCTTCTAATTTTGCGTCTACTTTAATCCTGTAAAAGGATTTTGTATCTCATTCAGTCAATTTTGAGGAGATTTTTATATGACTGTAATGTCTCGATAATTTGACCACTTCAGGTACTCTATTCTGTAATTCGTAATAAAACAGTAATATCATTGCGCAGCTTTTTATACTATAAAATATCTGCGCAACGATATTGCTACTGTCTTAACGAGTTACAGAATATGAACTCGGAAGGGGGGGGGGGGAATAGCGATCATCTAAGAGTGGAAATTTTTATGTATGTATGTATGTATGTATGTATGAGGTACATATACACACATATATATATACAGGTGTTTCTTAAATAGCGGACACTAATCATATAGCGTTATTCCTAATTAAAAATTGAGTCGAAAGTCTTCCAATTTTGCAATTTTCACAATGTTAACGAAATATTAATTTTTAAATATTACCGAATAAGCGCGTATCCAATCATTAATTATCGAAAATTGCAAAATGAAGAGGATTTTTCGACTCGATTTTTAATCAGGAATAGCGTTATATGATTAGTGTCCGCTATTTTAAGAAATACTCTTATAGTGTGTATATATATATATATA